TAAGGACTCAAATTCTTATAAAGTTCCCAATAGCAAAGGAAAATTAAGCCCCAAGACTGGAAGTCATGAAATGCTTCCCAAGAGGCAATTCCATCGTCCCCATTGTCTTTTTGGGAAGCTGGTCTGTCCCCACTGAAGGGGAGCCTTGCCTTTGGAAAAGTTGTGTGTGTGGGGAGGGAAAGGGGCAGTTTGTTTGCCCATGATACCAAACTCTCCCAAGCACACACATTGGTGTGTATGTTTATATTTGAATTCTTTTTTTGTTCCCAACCTGTGTTTTATTGGTGTGAGGAACTTCCGAATGAGAAACTCTCTCTACCAAAGCAGACAGGCACCTGCTCGGCCGCTTAGAGATTTGCCCAGGGTGTTGAGAGGCTGGCACTTCCCTTGGGTCACACAGTCCACACACGTCAGAGAATGGACAAGGGTTTTCTGCCTTTGAGGCCAGAGAGCAATTTGCTACATCCACCTCTGCTGCTTCTTAGGCACCACATTTGAGATTTCCCCCTCCTTTGGGGTGAGCGGGGGTCCCCACATGGACCCCTCTGTCCTTAGAAATATAGTGAACTCTATTCTTAGTTTGCTGACAAAGCATATTCCTGGTCCCATGTGTGGCCACAATTCTGCCTCTTTCTGTAGCCTTGAATTTGAACTTGAAAAGCCAGACTGTAACTGGCTCTCATTGATTAATTTTACAGTCAACTCTTCATTATTTGTGGAAAGGCAGGGGAACACAATCAAAATACAGGCAACTCTTAATTGCAAGCTTCAAAGGAAGAGGACATTTGGTGTGGCTAATTGAAATACATGGTTAATTCACCCAGCTGGGTCCAGGGCCAAGTATTTGCACCACCCCCTGCCCAGAACCTTCCTGTGGTGATGAGACTGGAATGGGGACCCTGTAAACCAAGCTGCTTTACCCCCAATGCTGAAATGGGGACAAGCTGGTTCCCTGGTGGGAGAATGCAATCCTGTTGACTATGTGGTTGGGAAGGCAGAGAGTTTCTTTTTAGCACATGCAAATGATCATGGACAGGACAGATTTGAGAGGGTATGGTAATTCTAAAATGATAAAGATACTGCCTCCCTACAGGCTGGTGATTGAAAGGTGGGACTAGAGGATGGAAAAGGCTTAAAGCCTCAGGGACAAAATGGGGAGATAGCTCCAGGCACCAGAAAAGGCAGCCTGGAATATGTGATTAATCTACCTACCAAGAAAAAAAAAAGTTGAATGTTTTATTTTACATAATGGGAGTCTGTTTTTTTTAACTCAACATGTAAATTTATGTAAATAAGAGTGCAAATGTATAGAAAATCTGTGTCCTGGGATTTCCTTGAAATGATCTGTCAGTTTTCCCCCTCCATCTACCAGTACAGCTGCTCAATGTTGTAATACGAAACCTCGTTTTCACCAGATTCTAGAATGCTAAAATCAAGGGATGATGCTCAAAGCTTGGAGAAGAAAATTTGAGGATAATAAGAGAATGAATACTTCTTTACATAGTAGGAAATGAACAAGGACTTTCTTACACATAAGAGGTCACTCAGATAGGAAATGTAGAATCATAAATGATTTAAGTAAACTCATGGATACTAACTCTGTAATAAGCTATTTAAAAAGCCAGAGGCATTTGCAATATGTATCATTTAAGGAATGTTATCAAATTATGGTCCTAGATTTCTTAATTCCTGCAAAAGCTAATACCTCTTTTTTAGCAGCCTGCTTTAAAATGTCAGGGTTGATTGGAATGGAACCAAGCAAGAGAGCTCAGAAACCCCCTCCCCACCCCAACATTTTGATCATTATTTATATAGAAGCCCTCCAGTTCCCATTTGGATAGACCTGTGCCTACTGGGTAAAATATTTTGTCATCTCTACTGTGAACATTGATTATGTGTTTTTCATTTTCTTCCAGAGATAAAGTCTATGCACATCAGCTCAGAAGATTTGCTGGTACTTTCTTCTTGAGACAGCCAGCCCAGGTCAGTACTACCTTCCTTTGAACATGGAGAGCACTGGTCTCAGACTTCTTGCATCTATTTGCTGTCTTGGACTGGTAGAATATGTCCCCTACTAGCTCGAGAATTTGTTCTAGGCTACCATGTGCAAAATTATCCTGGAGTTTTTGCATAGTGGTAGAACAGAAGGTCTTGGGTGACACCAACTGCCTTCAGTTATGGCATGGTACGCCCCAGCTCTAACTTCTGCCTTTGTGTCAATTACTGGGCATCATGTGGGGAATAAAGCTTGAGATCCGGGGTGTCATGCGCACTTTTTTGTGGGTTGTATCTCTTCTCACAGACCTTTGTGCTACAGTTTCTCTCACCACAAATCACCCAAGGATAGGGAAAATTGGTCCAAAGCTGTCTAATTATAATCTAGAAAAAAGAAAAAGAAATCTCTGTGACCATGGAGGTCATTAATATACAAATACGTACAGTTAGCCCTTTCACATTGCAGGGGTTTAAGGGTACAGTACCCCCACGATCAGGAAAATCCAAGTAAAAACTTTTGGCTTTTCCTTTGGACCAGAGAAGAAGTATGAATTATTATGATATTAAAAGATAAAATATGTTGATATTATACAATGCTATATATATATTTTATTTTGTTATACTATATTATATTTTATTATATTATATTATATTATACTATATACTATTCTTATAATACTATATTATACTATACATATATTTTATGCATTTCTGAATTTCTAAACTTTTTCCGTGTCATTTTCCGTGGCCTTTATGTGTCATCTGCGACTTCTGCAAAACTCTCAAAAAAATCTCATTTAATTAATTTCTTATGATGGCCAGTGATATATCAAAACCATGATGGGGAAAGATATGATGTGGGAGGGATAACTGTACAGGAAGGCTGCTGGTGAAAGCAACTTACACCTTGAAATATCAATGTAGATTACGGGGAAAATTTTTTACTGAATCCCTGAAGCTCAAGGACAAGTAGTCTTAGCTTGAGCCAGTGCTCCAAAAGCATCTTTACTCCATCCATAGCCATTCCAAACAAGCCTTCACAAATGTAGCCCTCCATTACCCTCAGTTATACTGTGATCATTTTAGATGATCAGTTACGCAGTTAACAAATAGAGCTTCTATCCAACCCATCCTCTGTTGCCAAACCATAAAAATACGATGAGAATACCAATAAAATTAAGCCAGGAAAAACCATAAAGAACAAGGAAGGGAACAGAGTAGTATGGGTGAAGTTCATTACACCTTCAAGGGCACTATAATTTGCTTGCCTTTTAATTCTACAATTTCCCAGCACAGCAGAAGGACTAATAGTAAACACTTACAGTAGTAAACACTTTATGCTCCTTGGAGTTCTTTGTGGGAGTCTATCAGGGTAATATAAGGAACAGGTGAAGATAAGGCAGGCATGAGGCTAGCTGAAGTTTTGGCCTTCCCTGGATTTGGATACTTTTGAGTTAAATTATTGACACATGCATTTTTATTATCTCTTTTGGGTGTAAGACTTTTGGTCATTTCTGTGGCATCATTACTAGAGAAGAAAATTGTTTTAACACCTTGAAATACTAGGCCAGGATATGTAGATTCTGGGCTAAGGCCAATGTCACAGAGCCTTGGTTGGAAGCCTGTGATGCTGGGTGAGTATCTGTCATCCCAATGTGGCTTCTGGTAATGTCTATTTCATCCTCAAGATTTTCTGAAGGGTCTTGACATGGAACATTCTGTTGGTTTCTACAGATTCTCTTTGTCCCTGGATTTTTAGTAGTATAATCACCTTTTGTGACATCTACTGTGACACTCTGAATATGATTCTCTATCCCAGATATGTTATTTGTAGGAAGGAAAATTTGTGCAGTATGGTTAACTGTTAAGTCCATAAAGTCATTGTCATATACTGTGAAATCACATCCTTCAGCTGGCCTCAAGGGAGTCTCTCTGGTTATAGGGTCTACGGATTGAACACTATCAGCCAAAATTTCTGCAACACTTTGTTATGCATATATTATTTCATTTGATCCTCCCAAGCACTCCTTCTGAAAGGTGCCATTATTCATCTCCATTTTAATCTCAGTGCCTCTATCTGAGGCACAGATAGATTAAATGACTTGCCCAAAGTCACACAGCTAGTAAATGTCTGAATAAGACAAGTTACCAAAGGTTTCAGGAGTATATGATAATGTTAACTGACAATAGAAACAAAGGCAGAAAAGTGAAGCCAGAGAAGGGTGATAGAGTAGGAGAGGTAACCTGAGGTCATGGAAGAATTAGGTCAAAGTTAGGAGAAGTGAGTCCCAAGGAAAGATGGAAAGAGGAGAGAGTATGGTTAGAGTTCTGGATAATGGACATAAGTGATGGTGAGATCTAGTCCCGTTATGTGGCCAAAGTGGAATGGAAGTTGAGATTTTAGAATCTAAGCTTCTCAGTGGAGACAAGATGGACCTTATATACAGAAAGCCTGTGGGAGGGATCTAGGAGTGGCGAAATAGTTTGGAGTGATGGGAGGAGGGGCCTAAGGAGAACTGGATGGAAGGGGAAATGGCCAGGGACCATAGGGAGGTAAGACAATGGAGGGGAGATTGGGTGTAGCCACAATGAAAGGCCAGTTGATGGGATTATAGCCTCAGGCAAACGCCAGAGATTTGGTCCTGTGGGAAAGTTCAGGGTTTTTCCTTTCTGGGGCCCAGATCCCAACCCCATCATTCCCTCCTCAAACAAATGGGACCCAAATTCTTTTGGAGTAAAGGGCGAAGATCTCGGTTTCTGAAACTATTTCCTGCTGGCAAGGGGCGTAGAGTTGTCCCTGCCTCGAGGGGGTCCCAAAAAGGAGGTTGACTGGAACCAAGCACAAGCTGCATCCAGGGAATGATGTGGGGACATTGGCTGGTATCTGCTGTTTGCTATCAACTCTAGGTGAATGACCTGAAGTCTGGAAGACACAAATCTGACAGAAAAGACTGCAGGGCCCAGATATAAAGCAGGGACTAGATTTAGGGCCCAACTTTGAGAGGATAAAAACATGGTTACATGCCACAGAGTAGGTGACAATGCCTTAATCATATCTGTGTTGTAAAGACCACTAGGACCTCTTCCATCCTTATCAAGGGGAGTGCTAACCTTCTCTCCTTTCATACAACACAAAAACTTGTTTTTCTTATGTGTAAGAAGATGAAAAGAGTGTGAAAAGGAGAGATAGAGGATAAAGGGGAATTTGTGAACAAAGATTACAGAGGACTCCATGGAAAGGTATGGCAGTGAAGACTAGACCAGTAGGGGTGAGGTTAGAGAGAGAAAACAGAGATAGGACATAAGGCCAGATTTGAACTCAGGTCTTCCTGGCTCCAGGCTCAGCACTCTATACACTGAGCAACCTGGCCACCTAAAGATATGAATAGGGAGGGGGTTAATGATAGGGACAGAGTTAGGGATGGGGTTAAGGATAGGATATGGGGGCAGCTAGGTGGTCCCATAGTTCATAGAGTGCTGGACCTGGAGTCAGGAGGACTCCTCTTCCTGAGTTCAAATCCAGCCTCAGACACTTACTAGCTGTGTGACCCTGAGTAAGTCACTTAACCCTGTTTACCTCGGTTTCCTCATCTGTAAAATGAGCTGGAGAAGGAAATGGCAAACCACTCCAATATCTTTGGGGGTCATGAAGAGTTGGACACAACTCAACAACAATAACAGAGTTAAGGTGAAGAACAGGTATAAGGATAGGGATAAGAGTGTGCTAGGAGCTGTAACAAGACAAGTATTTTTATCTTAGCAGATGTCAAAATGGAGAGTAGATGTTAGATGCTTGCACACCTTAGCCAGTTGATGAGGGTATTCAACTGACAAGAGCCAGTAACAGGAGGCTCAATGGTGATATTAGCTGGGAACATAGCATATGAAGGCAATCATTAATCCAAAGTATATGGGGACAGCTATCAGCAGATGACATGTTTTGTAAACATTCAAACATTTATTAGCTGTGTAATGTGAGCAAGTCAGTTAACATCTGAGAGCTCTAATTTCCTCATTTGTAGAGATAGGAATAGGAGCTTCATCTGTGATTTCAGTGGTATGGGAATTCTTGGACATGGAAAGACCGTGTACCAACGTAGACCAGCACATTCTCTGCCATTTATAGAATTGCCTCCAGAGCTGAGAGGTTAAGCCCAAGGTCATGCATCCAGTGTGTGGCACAGAGACAGGGCTTGCACCCAGGTCTTCCTGGCACTCTATCCGCTACTCTACACTGTTGCCTCCAAAGAGGGATTTATAATAGGGATAAGTAAAAGTAGAATGAGGATAAATGGTATCTAGATGAAATCTCACAGGGTTGATGCGTGGATCAAATGAAATAATGAATATTAAATTCCTTAAAAATCTTAAGGTGTTACATAAATATCAGTCATTGTTATCAGCCTTACTTCATCTATCCATCACAGTTGTTGGGGGGCAGATCTAGGCCCAAGGGGGCTGATGGTAATGGCAATTGGGAAGGTCATGTGGAGAAGAAGACCTATGGTTCTGTCTAGCCCTTGGCCGTTTGTATTCGCCTTTATTCCAGGGCCAGGGATGGGGCAGAGCACTAGTATCATTGAGAGTTGTGGCAGTATCTCCTGTCTCCTCAGTGACTTCAGCCCCTATCTCTCCAGGCCTCTGGTGGAGTGTGTTCAGTCGATTTGGTCATGTCTGACTCTCTGTGACATCTTTTGGGGTTTTCTTGGCAGAGATACTGGAGTGGCTTGCCATTTTCTTCTCCAACTCATTTTACAAATGAGGAACTGAGGCAAACAGAGTTGAGTGACTTGCCCAGGGTCACACGGCTAGTAAATATCTGAGGCCAGATTTGAACTCAGGAAGATGGGTATTCCTGATTTCAAGCCCAGTAATCTATCCACTGTACCATCTATGAAGGATTAAAAATATACTCATTTAACTGATGGTAATGGGGAGATAGGCATATGGAGGTAGCTAGGTGGCTCAGTGAATAGTATGCTGGCTCTGGAGTCAGGAAGATTCAAGTTCAACTTTGGCATCAGACACTCGGGAGCTGTGTGACCCTGGACAAGTCACTTAACCTCTGTTTGCTTTAATCCACTGGAGAAGGAAATGGCAAACCATTCCATTATTTGCCAAGAAAATCCCATACTGAGCCATGAAGAGTCAGAAACAGCAACAACAAATGAAGAGGTAGCATGATGAAGTAAATTAATAACCAGCCTCGGAGTCAGAGAGACATGAGTTTGAGTTTCACTGTTGTGGCTGTGTGATCCTGGACAAGACATCCAATGCCCTGAGGAATTCTATAAGGACTAGAAGATGCAGGTAGCTATTGATCTGTGAATTACCTACGTCAATGAAATCATATTCTCAAACAAAAAAAAAATGGCAGACCACACATGGTGATGGAGGGTGGAGTCAACATTGCCACCCTGCCCCCCACCCAAAGTAGGCCTTGCAAGCTAGATGGCCATGTGGTAAGAAGACCACCAATATTAATCCCTGAGAGCACTAGGAGTCAGTGGTGACTGAAGAGTTAGCTCAATGTCTCACAGAATATAACTACCATTACTTAGCACTTTTAGAATAGCCCACCTTCTCAACATCTCACTCCTTGGATTTTTGTATAAGAGAATAACTCTGTTAGAGTGAAACTTAGGGATTTTTTTTGGTTCCACATGGCAAGCAGAGCAAAGAAAACATTTCATTTTCTCCCTCAGCTAGAATTCAATTTAACTTACAAGTCCTTTTTTTGTCCATCAGAAAGAAAACCAACCCAGTATACTACCTAGGCAGGAGGCTGCACTTTTGTATAATAACTTGAGCAATGCAGGCAAAATGTCATCTCATATCCCAGCATCCGACCAGAAAGATGACTCCATAAAGCAGCTTCGGAAACTCCTAGAAAATGCAATAAAGCTAGACAAATGCTAAGACAGAGGAGCCCCCCCACACACATACTTACTGCAGGAAGGGCAGTCCGTTTTATGGTCTCCTCTGAGTCATATAAAACTATTTAGCACTGTCTGAAACCCACACAAATAATAAAAGACAAACAATGTCTGTAGAGCACATTTGGTTATTAGGTTTATGAAAAAAAATAATTCATTGCAATTGCATGTGGAGGCCAGAGATGATAAAAATGGAAAATGACAAAGGTATGGACAATGTCAGGCTTGTTTGTCCTCCTCTGCAATGGAAGCATTCCAGAGAGGCCCAAACAACCCAAAATATATGATAAAGCAAGCCTATGTACACCGATATAATAACACACTTACCATTTAGAATCCACATGTGTACATGTGTGTACAAATAAATTATATATGTATGTATAAATACAAACACTGCGTGGTGCGTATATTTATAATAAATTATATTCGTTTTAGGATTTAACAATTTTAAAGCATTAAAGTAGTTTTATTACTTTTGAGTTTGTGTTTTTCAGTCGTGTCTGACTTCTCATGACCCTATTTGGGCTGGTTTATTTGTTTTTTTGGCAAAGATACCAGAGTGGTTTGTAATTTCCTTCTTTTTCTTTAATTTTATTTTTAATTTATGGCATAGAACAAAAATTTCCATAACATAGCACAATAAAAAGACAATTATGCATGAAACTGCAAATCTGCTATGCACAATTTGCTATTCCTTTCAAATATACAACGAAATTATCATGGAAATTTTTTTTATTTTCTCCCCCCATCCCAGAGATGGCTACCATTAGACACAAATAGGTGTGTGTCTGTGTGTGTGTGTGTGTGTGTGTGTGTGTGTGTGTAATTTCTATTTATCAGTCCTTTCTCTGGATGCAGATGGCATCTTTCTTCACATATCCTCTAAAATTAATTTGAGTATTTATAATAGACAAAATAGCTTATTCATTCAAAGCCATTCTTAAAACAATACTGTTGTTCCTGCATACAATGTCCTTCAAGATTTACCAAATGTTACCAAAGGAAAGGCAATTTGTCCCTTCATAACATCATATTTGGTAGCAGCATATCTGCCCTATAGAAATATTACTTATTCTCTCTTCTGTCTGTAATGCAGACTTTTTCCCATTAACACTTCAGCCCAGTTTCTCTCACTTTTAAAAAAACTCAGCTGAAAAATAACAAGTGTGACTTCTGGCAGAAAAGTGATAAGGGGCACTGACTGGTATAAACTGCTGAAAGATGAAATTTTGCCTTGCCCCAGCTGGAAGGAGGGATGAAAAATGACTAGACATTTGTGAATAATGAATACTCTTTTTAAATGAATCAGAACAAATGTATCTCCTACAGGTCATGTAGTCCACTTCTATCATTTTACAGATGAGGAAACTGAGGCCCAAGGGCACACAAATAGCATGTCTGGTAGCTCTACCAATGCTAATCAATAGCTCTCTGAATCTTTTTTTTAAATTTCATTTTATTTAGTATTTTATTTTTCCCCAATTACATATAAAACAATTTTTAATATTCATTTTAAAAATTGAGTTCCAAATTCTCTCCTTCCCTTCCCATGCTCCTCATTGAGAAGGCAAGCAATAGACTATCCATGTGTGGTCATACAAAACGTATTTCCATACTAGTCATACTGTAAAAGAAAATAGACCAAAATAAAAACCCAAGAAAAATAAAGAAAGTTTAAAAAGTATGCTTTGATCTGGATTCAGACTCCATCTGTTCTTTCTCTGGAGGTGGATAGAATTTTTCATTGTTAAGTCCTTTAGATTTTTCTTGGATCATTGTATCGCTGAGAATAGCTAAGTCATTCACAGTTGATCTTCATGTGGTATTACTGTTACTGTGTACAACATTCTCCCAGTTCTACTCATTTCTCTTTGCATCAGTTCATGTAAGTCTTCCCAGGTTTTTCTGAGCACAATAGTATTCCATCACAATCATATACCACAACGTTTTCAGCCATTCCCCAATTGAAGGACATCCCCTCAATTTCCAATTCTTTGCCACCAGAAAAGAGCTGCTATAAATATTTTTATACATCTAGATCCTTTTCCTTTTTGTTTTTTATCTCTTTTGGGATACAGACCTAATAGTGTATTGCTAGGTCAAAGGGCATATCCAGCTTTATAGCCCTTTGCAGCTGCCTACATCTTAAAGTCTTAGAGAGTTGGCACTGAAGCCAAATCCTCTGACTCCATCGTTA